GAATTTAGCTTTTAGCATTTTACTGCATTAAAGGATGTGTGTATGCATGTATTTTTACCTCTTTCGTTCAGCTTTGTATGTCAGAAAAGTGACACAGACAGAACCACCTAACCAATCAGCTCTAAGCCCAAAGAGTCAAATAAGGCTAAGCATACAAATGAAATATAAACTAGGAACTAAAATGTTTTCCAGATACAAGAAGAACCTGAAGGCTCTCTATGTGGTGCACCCGACTAACTTCATCAGGATTGTGTGGAATATTTTTAAACCCCTGATCAGGTAAAGTAAACTCACACATTTGGCCTTCGAAATATCATTTTTTTCATCTGTTGATCTGAATGCATTTCTTCCCCCAGTCACAAGTTCGGAAAGAAGCTTACATACGTGAATTATTTGGCCGAGTTGAAAGATTATTTGAATTACGAGCACCTGATTATCCCTGATGATGTGATCAAGTAGGCTACATATATACATACATTATTGAAAGCATATGGCATTTTTAATATATTTACATGCGTATCTATTGTGCTTCTAAACAGACATGATGAGAAGCTACGTGCGGCTCAGAAAGAGAGACCACCCCCTGCGGTGAAGAAGCCCCCCCCTAGACCTCCTCTGCCGACCCAGCAGTTTGGAGTCAGTCTGCAGTAGTGAGTGTCTGCTTCCTGATCATGTTCTGGGCTGTGGCGCCTATGTGCTGTAGTCGTCTGTGGTTTAGATAGATACTGTAGATACTGGGTGGAGCAGGATGGGTCACAGCAGCACAGGTGGAGTAGCCGCTGGGTGGTGCAGGATGGGTCACAGCAGCAGAGGTGGAGTAGCCGCTGGGTGGTGCAGGACGGGTCACAGCAGCAGAGGTGGAGTAGCCGCTGGATGGAGCAGGACGGGTCACAAGGTGGAGTAGCCGCTTGGTTTGAACCATTTTCTCTGCTCTGGTCCAAAGTAAAATTCTAAATGCTTCATTAGCATTTTTCAAAAAGTTAGCATTCCTCCAGTGGATTTTCGTCTGATCCACTTGGTACGGACCATGTATCCTCTCTGCTTAGGTCTGGACCAGTATAAAACCATGAACACTGTACTGCACCAACATCTTAGGTAGAAAAAAGCTATAAAAATAACAATTGTAAAGCTACTTAGGACTTGCTCCCGTTTTCCAGCGCATTCAGAAGTTTACACTGTGTTTTGGTAACGCTTTATATTAAGGTGTGCTTGTTAAGTATTAATAAGGTATTAATAGACATTAGCAACATGCTTATAGATTGCTTATATGTACTTATAAACATATTAATAAGCTGCTCATTTCACTATTCTCTAAATGATGTTGTTCTAGTTATATGCTTTTAAGCATTTAATAAGTAATTAGTAAGATACTTATTAAAGGAGGAATATGTTTATAAATATATGAATAAGCTGCTTATTAAATTATTATCGATACATGTTAATAGGCCACTAACAATATGCCTATAGAGATATTAATACGCTGCTTATTAATAGGCAATAGTGGTAATAGGCCACTAAAAATATGCGTTAATAAACTGCTTATTACACTATTTTGCAGTACCCTAATCTAAAGCGAGGAGCATTTTTGTTAATGCAGAAAAAACACAACAATGATCTAAGATGTTTTTATTTTTTCAAACAGCAACAATTAAAGTCTAAATGAAAAAATATATGAAAATTAAGTTTGTGCCAAAAGTTTGTTAGTAACTTCGAGGAGCCATGATGAACCCACACATGCTCCGCCCTGCTCTGTTAATGAATTTGGCTTTGGCAAAACAGTGAATCAGCTGACTTCACGAGCCTGAGAGATTAGCGGAACTCGCCTATTTTTGGGCATCGTCTGGTCCTCCCGGTTCTGCGCAGTGGACGAGCTCCCATGATGCTTTGCGCCAAATACGCTTGCGTGGCTGTCATGCACGTGCACAGAGGGGCCGTGCTCTGACCAAACAGAGCTGCTGATCAGAGCGAGAGTTAGAGCGGGAGTTATAGCGGGAGCCAGACGAGTAGAGTTTGTGGCCGTAAAATGTGGATTTAAAGGACAACTCACCCTCAAATCCACTTTTTTTTTTTTTTGCTGATAAACGGTATAAATGAGTGTCCAATAGTGTTGTCTACATATCCTGGTCATAATTTTGTCACTTTGGTGCAAATTAGTTGAAAGTTAAACTTTCTGCCTAAAACCATCTGTGAGGCGCCATCTGCTGGCAACCTGTATTACTACATTTGAATTTTGAATCTGGCGCCTGAGACCTGACGTCAGCAGCCCCCCGCCCAGAGCAGTGTAAACGGCCCAGTCTCGTTCACGCCCCCTTTAGTCCTCCAGGCTACGCCCATTTAGAGGAAGATTTGAACAGGAAATGTGAGTGACGTAAGCTCCGAGGAGCGGGGGTGAGAACCACTTTAAAGAAAACTGAAGGATTTAGGAAGAAAAAAAGTTCAGGATGACAAGGGACACTAAAATCCCCAGAAAATCCGAACTTTATGAAAGCTGTGGGTTCTCTGTCAGCTGAGGTCGAGCTGTTTTAGTTTACATTGAGTTCTATGGGACTTTTTCTGGGTAGCCCTCGTGAATTTAGTCTGCAGTACCACAGCGCCCCCTGTGCCCATGGGTGGGACAGCTATAAGCTAGGAATACACTATCCAGTTATTATTATAGTTCCGTGGTTGTGCCACAGGTGCGTTGTAAAGATGGATCTATTATAATAACTGGATAGGGTATTACTAGCTTGTAGCTCGGGAGATTCTCGTGGTACTGCAAACTAAATTCACGTGGGCTACCCAGAAATTGTCCCCATAGAACTCAATGTAAACTAAAACAGCTCAACCTCAGCAGACAGAGAACCTACAGCTTTCATAAAGGTCGGATTTTGTGGGGCTTTTAGTGTCCCTTGTCATCCTGAACTTTTTTTCTTCTTAAATCCTTCTGTTTTCTTTAAATCCACATTTTACTGCCACAAACTCAACTCGTCTGGCTCTTACTCCCGCTCTAACTCCCGCTCTGATCAGCAGCTCTGATTGGTCAGAGCGCGGCCCCTATGTGCACGTGCATGACAGCCACGCACGCGTATTTGGCGCAAAGCATCATGGGAGCTCGTCCACTGCGCAGAACCGGGAGGACCAGACGATGCACAAAAATAGGCGAGTTCCGCTAATAGGGGTGTGACGATACTTTCTCCCGCGATTTGATTATTGATATGCATTTGCCAAGTATCAATATCAATTTTGAAAAAAATATATATATATATTGGTATCAATACTTAATATATGGCTACATTACGCATCTCCATTCTATTTATCATGAAATAAAGAGTATTTTTTATTTTATTTATGCCATAAATTGGCATATTGTATATTTCTGACCAATATATCAATAATCGTCATATCGTGATAAAATCGTTATTGTAATCTTTATCGTGAGCTTTGTATCGTGTATCGTATCGTGAGGTACCCTTAGGTTCCCACCCCTGTCCGCTAATCTCTCAGGCTCGTGAAGTCAGTTGATTTACTGTTTTGCCAAAGCCAAATTCATTAACAGAGCAGGTCGGAGCATGAGTGGGGGCATCATGGCTCCTTGAAGTTACTAACAAACTTTTGGCACAAACTTAATTTTCATATATTTTTTCATTTAGACTTTAATTGTTGCTGTTTGAATAAATAAAAACATCTTAGATCATTGTTGTGTTTTTTTCTGCATTAACAAAAATGCTCCTCGCTTTAGATTAGGGTACTGCAAAATAGTGTAATAAGCAGTTTATTAACGTATATTTTTAGTGGCCTATTACCACTATTGCCTATTAATAAGCAGCGTATTAATATCTCTATAGGCATATTGTTAGTGGCCTATTAACATGTATCAATAATAGTTTAATAAGCAGCTTATTCATATATTTATAAACATATTCCTCCTTTAATATGTATCTTACTAATTACTTATTAAATGCTTAAAAGCATATAACTAGAACAACATCATTTAGAGAATAGTGAAATGAGCAGCTTGCTTATATGTACTTATAAACATATTAATAATCTATAAGCATGTTGCTAATGTCTATTAATACCTTATTAATACTTAACAAGCACACCTTAATATAAAGCGTTACCTGTGTTTTTGTTGCAGTATTCGGGAGAAGAATGCGGGGGCCATAATCCCACCGGTGATGACACAGACCATCACATACTTGAAAGAGAAAGGTGACTCTTCATGATGAAAGGGACCGGTATTAAAGGAATCAGGGCAGCACAGTTAATCATAATGGAATCTAAAGGATCGGAATCGTGGTCACAATTCGCAAACTGCAAAACACTGCATTGATTTAAGTTCTTTGCAAAAATGATGAAAGGAAAATTAAGACAAAGGTTACGTGAATTTTGGAAAACGTCTCTTGATTTGAGCATATTTTGAAATTTGACATTGGAACAAACAAGTATCTTTTGTTTTGTTGTCCAAACGAGACTTGACTATTTCATAAGTTAGAGAACCCGATACTGTCTGAATGTGTTGCTCAACTGTAAGAATGTTATGAGAAAAGATACAAAATACTTGCAGTACTGGCTGGAATATTACACGCACTTGTTTACAAACCGCTAAATTTGAAGAGAAAGTAAATCGTGTCTTTATATAGGCCGCACTTTACTATAAGCCCCAGGTTTTCATGTTGTAATGAATGTTACCAACAGCGGGTGAGGGCTGCTTTTAGTCCAATACTATTTTAAACAAGTACTGTGATTTTAATTCAAGCTTGTATAAATATTTTACATTTTTTGCACAGAATCATACATTTCTAAAGAGAAATTGGTTGTACTATAGAACTATAGAACTCTCTATTTAAAAAATCTGAAATGTATTGAAATTGTGTATGAGTAATTGCCTCATGTGTGCGCTTTTTTAAATGGAACTGTCTTGAATCTGTTACTTTTACATGGACTTTTTAAAGCTACTAGTTATCGGAAAATCGCATCACAATGTTGTTTGGAAATTGTTTTGCCATAATGTGTTCAAATGTGAAGGTGTCAAGACCGAGGGGATCTTCCGACGCTCTGCTCGTGTTCAGCTGATAAAGGACATTCAGAGCCTTTATAATCTGGGTAAATATGAGAATCGACTCGTGAACTGTAACAACAACAAAAGATTTAATGTCGTTGGTTGTTGTTTTGTCATTGTAACCAGGGAAACCAGTCGACTTTGACCAGTACGGCGACGTCCATGTTCCTGCTGTAATCCTTAAAACGTTTCTCCGAGAGCTTCCTGAACCGCTGCTCACGTTCCGAGTTTACAACCAAGTGCTGGACGTCATGAGTGAGTTACGAAAACATGTACAGTGGCTTTCTGGGGTTCTGATACAACTGCACTGCAAAAAGTGACAAAATATGAAGTAATAAATGCTTAAATCAAGTGGTTTTTATCTTAATTTGAGAACATGTTGACTGTCTTTAAACAAGATATGACAATGGGACTATTTCAAGAACTGTTGCTTTTTTTTCTCATTCCAAGGGAGACATTTCTTGTAATTTTTTAAACAAGATTATTCAGTTTGTCTCATTGGTAAATCTTGTTTTAAGGCATTCAAAATGTGCTCAAATTATGATACTTTATGCCAAATTGGAGCCATTTCGGACATATTTTGCATTTTATATTTTAAACCTCAATATAATGTGTATTTTTGCTTTTGATTCACAGTTGTCTATAACTTGGTTGTGGTCTTTCAAAAAAAAAATTATAATAATTTGAAAATAACACCTTTTTTTTGTCGTAAACATGACGAAAGCTCAAATGCGTCAGGTTTATGTATATTTTCTATAGGATAAAATATGTACAATTTTTACTTAAATTACAGCCTCAGCTCTTCCTTGTTTTCCAATGAAATAACCTAATGCGCAATTTATTTGGATATATTTTTCTCTATTGTCTTTTACAGAAGTAGAAAGCAGCCTCCGTGTGTCCCGATGTAAACAGATCATCGAGAGCCTTCCAGAATATAATTTAATTGTGACCAAATACCTGCTGAGTTTTCTTCACATGGTACACCTTACCCTCCGATTGATAAAAAATATATATATCCCAAAAATAATGAATGCTAAATTCTGAAGAAAATGTTATGTTACTTGGAGACTTAAAGGCGCATTCCTCAACTGTCCTGGTGGCGGGCGGCTTTTGGCCTGGGTTAATTCATTTTGGGATAATTGTTCTTGAACTTTCCTTTTTACATTGGGAAAAAAAGCTTGTGACTTCACTCAGCTATGTTACAAGTTATATCTGTGGAGAGGCGAGTCTTCTCTCTGTAAAAAAACAGCATTTATGATTGAAGTCCTAAACCAAACTGAGCTACATTTCAAGCAAAGAAACAAAAACATATCCATCATAAGAAGCAAGAATCAGACAAATTCATGCAAAACACAGGTAACCACCAGGGCAGTAAAAGATTGCACCTTTTTTAAATCCTCATTGGGCTGCCTGGGATCGCCTCTGCTCTTAAAAACCCCCATGTCTTGCAGGTTTCTCAGGAGAGCATCAGTAACAAGATGAGCCCATCGAACCTGGCGTGTGTCTTCGGAGTGAACCTGGTTTGGCCTCGTCACGGCTCCGTCTCCCTGAGCGCTCTGACGCCCATCAACATATTCACAGAGAACCTCATCGAACACTTCCACACCGTGTTCCCCGCGCAGATCTGCAACCCCCCGGACCCCATCATGCCCTGACCCGTGGATCCTGCGGCGTCACATGGTCTCTGGCACTGAAGGGAGGGGGAAAAGAGCAAAACCTACATATCAGTAGCAAGCCAGATGTGAGGGTAGAGGAAGTAGCCAAAGCACATGAAGGTGTATTGCTCAGCTGTCCTGGTTGTGTGGTGGTCCGATTGGAACTGCAGCCTTTTCAATGCATCCATCCATCCATCCATTTTCTTCCCGCTTCATCCGTTGCCGGGTTGCGGGGGGCACTCAGATCTCGCTATCCACACACACCTCTCATCAAAGTGAAATATATAGAATCAGAACAGAATAGAACTTCATTGTCGGTTCAATTGAGCAGAATCTTGTCTTTCTGAAAATCAAACAAGCGCAAAAAAAAGTATTTTCTGAATATTTTGACCAGTGCAGTGATATTGGATAATTTAAGTAAGTAGATAAATACCAAGGCACACTAAAGCACCACGGCACCCTGCTTGAAACACAGATTTGGTAGGTTATTCCTCAATTATAGATATTTTTTATACTTCGAAGACTCGCCTCTCCGCAGATATCATTTGTAACTTGGTTGATTGAAGTCACATGTTTCCAATGTGTGTCATTTTTATACCTGTACTTACTGTCTGTATACATATCCAGGCAAAACAACAATATCTCTTGAGTAATGCACCTTTTTAGAGCATTATTTCCTGGTTGAATCAGTTCTGCACTTGACCATGTATCATTCTGACAATTTACTTTTGGCCCCAAATACCTGCACTTTTTTACTTCTAACATTTTAAAATGACGAGTTACTTAACAGATGGTGACACAACAAAAAAACAGGTTTGAAGTGATTAGCTACAATTATAGGGAATTTATGAATTGTGTTTTCAGAATTCAGAATTCTTACTGAACTTAGAAGCATGGCTAAAGTGCTGCATATTTAGTATGACATATTCTCAGCCAGTATGGAATGGTATAATGTAGTTTAAATGCTTACAAAGTCTCAAATGAATATTGTCTATTATTCATGTATTTACCCAAGTGCAAACAAAAGCTTTTACTTAAGCAGGGGTATGTGTATATATTAGTACTTTTGCCTCCTCTGTTCAAGGTTCTCTAATGTGAAAATTCTGTGTATCCGTGTATGGCTTTACGTCAACACCATGACGGATGCAAATGTTAGCTGCTCGTTTTTATGCAACTAGAAAAACCACCGATTGAAAGTGCAACACTACTTGTTTTATGTTATTTTATACACAACTTTTGTAGCATTTAATTTACTAAACGATGAGTCACTTTTTCAGAGACCAGTGACGTGGCCTGGTCATGTCTCGTCTCCTGCGATATCGACTGCTGGATTTCTTTTTTTTTTGCCCGAACATTGTCGGCAGAGCAATAATAGTTCACCTTTAACACTGGATGATATAACTTTGCACTTTTATAGTTTTCAATAAAAATGTACAACTTCAATGTTGAATGTGATTTTTCAGAAGCTATTGTTCTTTCAGAATACTAGTCTATACAGTATACACACTAGTACATATGGTCATGTATGGTATAGAAAACAAATGGACAAACCAGTTGCTCTTCAGTTTATTATTGATTCATTTTTTAAGAACTTGGTACAAAACGTGATACTACTCTTTACCATTTATCAACTTTCAATGCACCATAAAGAGGAAAAAACTACATTGGCATAGACAAACACTTTCCTATACACACTATCCACTGGACGCTTCCTTTAATGACAAATCAAAAATCTAAAACAGCCAAAAGACACGTCTCCATCCAAACCTCTTTGTGTTGTCTTCTTATGGCAAAGTATTACATCAGACATTGCAAGCTAAAAGTCAGAATTGGCAAATCCATAAAAAAATCCTCAATGTTCTTGTTCTATTCATTTTTGCTTGATAAAAGAATATAAAATGTTCTTTGTGTTTTTTTTATTTGTTCAAATGTTGTGTTGTGTATTAAAATATATCTGTTCGAGCACTGCACAGTTTCTCCCGGAGAAGATTGATAGAAACAGATGAAGAGGTTTTGGGGATTGGATGGTGAACTGCTCTTGTTCTCTCACCTGGTCCCCCAGGCTTGATATGCATCACATGGTACATTCTGATAGTTGAACCAAAACATGATCATGATACTGTTTGTTTAAAGGCAAGTCGGGTGCAGTGTAATGCATATGTCTATCTGGCAGATATATAGAGCCCTACTGTTTAGTAAATGAATAAAAAACAGTGTGCTTAGGTACAGCAGTGTCGGACGATCCACAAATATTACAAAGACGTGATTTTGACAGCTTGATATTGCAAAGATACACAATAATACAAATAAGGCATGTTTTTGAAATGACCTTTTCCTAATGGTGCCTCTGCCATTCTCTCCAACGTCAGTCTGTTTCATTTAATCATAAAGCGTATCTTAATGTCAACATGACTTTGACAGCTGTTGACGATATGTTCTGAAGACAGATAACAGAATCTGAATCACATTTTGATCACATGCTCCTCTCTTTGTCAAGTTAAAATGGTTTGATGCATCTACCTAGAAAATGTACACAATGTCAAAATTATAATAGAAAAAATATTACAAAACGTTATAGTATAATCTGTAGCGTTTATACAGCAGTACGCTGAAAAATGTTGCGCTATAAAGTAGAATAGAGGGAAATAATAATGTATTGCTAGTTGCGTAAATCACTATCGTTTCTCCCTCGCTTTAAAGCCATTGTTGAAGTGTCTGGAAAGCTGCACATTGGACCAAACGCATCGAATGGGAAATGTAAATGAATTAGATTTTGTGATTTCCCTCCCATAAAGGCATTTCCCCTTAACTCAATGATAGCGTTTATGTTTGTGCATTTGTCTCATACATCTGGTGTAGCTATGAAATGAAATCACAAATAATTGCTGCTGGGCTAAGGAAGACTGGCAACAGGCGAGGACGAGACGAAGGCGCCCCTGGTTTAAACTCAAAGAGACAAAACCAGGATTGAGTTGCCTCCACAACGCGCCTCCGTCACAAGCCAACGCTCTCAGTCTACGCGTTTGTCACAAGTTGATTCTCGGTCGAGCAGAATCAAAGGCAAGCCGTTGCAATACAGGTTTGCACTTGAGGCAGTGTTGGTCTGTAACAAGCGCGTCGCTGATTACGCTCAGGAAACACAAGTATAAAATGAGTCGAATAGAAAAGGCTGGGGGAGGAAAAAGCACTGTGCGTTGTTGTACGATGACTCCAGGAAACAGAAAGGTTTTTGGCATATTTGATACTGGTTTACGTTATGAATGACACACCTCTTTGTTTGAGCTGAAACGTGATCCCTGCTGGTGACCGCTCGCTGCACTAACAATAGGGATTTGGCATCATGACAATATACTTTATCCTGAAGTACTCACATTGGTTGATATGTGTTGAATGCAATACCCAGTGGTACATTTACAGGTGAAACTCTGACAATTACAATATCATCCAAAAGTCTATTTACTTCTGTATTTCAACTTATAATAATTTATGATATAGACTCAATACATACAAAGTGGCATGTGTTTGTCCTCATTTTGATGATAACAACTTACAGTCACGTTTCAACATTTTCTGGGTGCTGTAAGCAGATGATCAACATTACAACGAGCTTTTAAATACTTCATTTTGTGTGTTTTGAGTCTGTCATATACTAGTTTATTTTGTTTTATTTCTATTATTGTAATATTCGGGCGGCAGTAGCTCAGATTGTGTGTCTGAGCTAAAGGTTGGCAGTTCGAATCCTGCTGCAGAATATCATCGGGTGAGCGGTCAGATCGACTGACCCACAGGTTGGCAGGTGTGAAACCATCGCACAATGATGGTTGCTGCAGTGTGTCCTTGGGCAAGACACTTTCCCCGCCCCGTTCCCACTGTCTGTGTACACTGGTGCAAGAATGTTTGTGAATGGGTGATTGGTTCCTTGATGTGCAGCGCTTTGAGTGCCTTAGAAAAGTTAAAAAGTGCTATACTTTTTTTTTTTTGCTTGTGCCCAGAGTCACGACCAAACCTGGGGAGGCAGCATTTCAGATTTATGCAGCTAAAATATGCAACTGTTAAAATCCACATGTTGTATGCACAGCTAAACTGACAGAACTGTTTTTAATCTGGATTTGATCTTCACTCTTTTCAATCTTTTGTGGTTATTTCTGAGTATGAACTGTGCCATACAAACAAACTTGCCTTGCCTATAGAAATTTGACAATTTACATTTTAGTTTCACAATGCAAGTTGAATTCCAGAAGTAAATGTACTTTTCAACCATAATTTGAATTTTCCAAGTGTCACCTGTGTACGTCTAGTTGACCTACTTTTTTGTTTTGAAATCTCTTGTACTTCTTACTATTGTGGGTGATTTATTTTTCCAGGCCCAAGCATCCGAGGACCCTTTGATGTGGATGTCTCTCCATGATAATCCGTGAAACAAAAGCTGATGAGGATGTATTCAAACATATATACAGTGAACGCCTCGAAGTCTCCAAACATTTGTATCAACAGGCAAGAGTGAAAATGCTAACATCTTCACTAGAAATGCTAATTTATGTAGTTTCTCTTAAATACTTTTCTTTAACTATATTTAATACTGAAAAAGTTATTCATCTGTTTTGTTTGAAGGCTCGTGTATAAACATAATTCGCTCCTGAACTTTGTATGGCAGAAACGCTCATAGGGGAGAGAGAACATCTACCGGAAAATAGCGCTTGCACAGTCCGTCGCTGCTCCGTTCCTCCCTTCTGGCACCAAAACTAACTCTACCGTTCTCTCAACAGTAACAGTAATTAGACCTGTGTTTTAGAAAAGGGACATAATCTTTAGGCCGCACAGAAGCCCCTCTGCTGCAGCATTCACATCTATCTTCTGGTATTACTTACATTAAGGCCAAGAACATTAATAAATACAAAATAACTTAAAAAAAAGAAATCTCATAAGCACTGTAGGTGACGGTTTTTTAAAAAATACTTCAAATCCAAGTTCAGTTTTTGTCGCTTTTTTCTTCCACAGTAGATTGGGACAGAGGTGAGGGCTAGTTGTTGTCCTGGCTCTGGGCGTGGCTCTTTAGGATGGGTGCGGACAAAGGACTGGTTATGGTGGGCTTCATCCAGGCCTGGGACAACAGCGAGGCGCCGATGTTCGTGGTGGTCGTCATGGTGACCTGGATGACTTGGTCGCGCTGGATGAGTGCGAGCAGAGACTTGATCCGGTCCAGAGACGCTCTTGTGTCTCTCTGCTGCTGCAACAGCCTCTCCCTCATGTCCATGCATCGCTGAAACACAAACATGTTTATTTAAGATGACACAATCTGATTAGATGCACTGGGACGTCAGCCATCGACTAATATATATATATATATATATATATATATATATATATATATATATATATATATATATATATATATATATATATATATATATATATATATATATATATATATATATATATATATATATATATATATATATATATATATATATATATATATATATATATATATATATATAAGAAGAAGTCCTACCAATGGCTAGAAAGGGCTGGCCTACAGGACAGCACAGAGGCACTCATCATGGCTGCACAGGAGCAGGCACTGAGCACCAGAGCGATAGAGGCCCAGATATACCACACCAGACAAGACCCAAGGTGTCGGTTGTGCAAAGAGGCACCTGAGACGATCCAACACATAACTGCAGGGTGCAAGATGCTGGCAGGGAAGGCCTACATGGAACGCCATAACCAAGTGGCTGGCATAGTGTACAGAAACATCTGTGCAGAGTATGGACTGGAAACCACAAGGTCTAAGTGGGAAACTCCTCCAAAGGTGGTGGAGAATGAGCGTGCAAAGATCCTGTGGGACTTCCAGATACAGACCGACCGAATGGTAATGGCGAACCAACCTGACATTGTGGTGGTAGACAAAGGGCAGAGGACAGCCGTGGTGGTGGACGTGGCAATTCCAAGCGATGGCAACATCAGGAAAAAAGAACATGAAAAGCTTGAGAAATACCAAGGTCTCAGAGAGGAGCTGGAGAGGGCCTGGAGGGTAAAGGTGACAGTAGTGCCCGTGGTGATCGGTGCACTCGGGGCAGTGACCCCGAAGCTAGATGAGTGGTTACAGCAGATCCCTGGAACAACCTCGGACATCTCGGTCCAGAAATATGCAGTGCTAGGAACAGCAAAGATATTGCGCAGAACCCTCAAGCTCCCAGCCCTCTGGTAGAGGACCCGAGCTTTGAGAGTAATGACCGCTCGCGGAGGGCCAAAGTTGTGTGTTGTTTCAATTTTTTTTATATATATATATATATATATATTGATGGACAATGCTAACCGCTAGCTCTATGAACCATTATAAGGAAGTGGACTAAGCTTGTGTCATACTTGCCTCATTAACTTACTATGAAAAGTAAGTTAATAATTTCCTTCTTCTGTAACTGTTTGTGACTCATTTTGTTCTTGGAATTTGTGATTTTAACGCTATGTAAGCTCTTGAAAAAACGTAAAATATGTTTTGTAATAAGTGACCAATCAGGCGTCCTCTGTCCCTGAATTCAGCTGGAGCTGGCAAGAAGCATGACCGGGAACAGGCCAGCGCAACAGCTTTTCTTTTTTTTCATAATCTTTATTGGAAGCATCAAGAACGAAAGTGACAGTTGGCATTATAGAGAAACAACGCATATCAATCTTTGAAAGAAATGCATACGTACAAGGAATAAAAGGAAGTAGGGAGGGGAGGGAGATGGGGCTCGAATCGGATGAATTTTGGGGTGTGTAGGTGTGCGTGTGTGTGTGCGTGTGTGTAGGTCACTGTTATTGCTGAATATTATCACAGAAGTGTTAGGAAATGTAGTTATTGTTGTTTGTAACAGTTGTAACAGTGTGAGGACAGTGGATTTTTTAAGGGGAGGGGCCAGCGCAGTATCTGATTGGCTCTTTGGTTGTTTGAGTTAGCTCGGCTTCTTCCACAACAAGGCAAACACTATGGGTGACGTGAGCAGCCGGTCAGTCCACTCTTTTTGTACGGCCTGTAGGGCAGAACTCTTTGATTATGATAATATCTTACGTTGAGTGAGTTGTTTAACTTGTTGTCTTCCTCCTCCAGGTGAGCACACTCATTCTTCAGCTCGTTGTTCCTCCTCAGTAGGCGCCTCTTCTCCTCCTGCCTCACTGTGACATTATCCACACACAAGACAGTGTCAGGGATACTCTCGCTGAGCTCACACTCCATTAGGACACATTACTCACCTGTTTTGTGTGTGACATAAGACTGTATGAAGTTTTGTGGCCATGATAGGTTTTCTTTGTTCAGCACCTGCAATATTGACACACATGAAAAGAACATTGTATATTTCAAATGACATAATACATGCAAAATTAAAATCTATATGTTGTTTTCTATTTTTTTTGTATATGTACTTTTTCAATTGATTACGGTAATTGACGAATGTTGCTAAAAACGTCATGCCAGCAAAATGTTGAACAATGAAACACTACACCAAAGTAATGTTTGGTCAAGTCAAATTTAAGACCCTTAATCACTGTTTGATGCCTGGAAAAACCCCCCACACCAGTAAACAAAAACAAATGTATTTGGATTTTATCACATGAATCACTGAAGTGCTTTGTGATTCGTCTGTCTGTCTGTCTGTCTGTGTGTGTGTGTGTGTGTCTGCCTGTCTCTTTGTATGTGTATGTGTGTGTGTCTGTCTGTCTGTGTCTGGTGCCAATCAGTCTTGTTCTGAAATACAGCTAATCTTCTACATATGAAATACAATTCAAAAAGCCTCACTTTGATGAAACTTCACTTTCACAAAACCAGGTTTGTCTTAGCCCCAACTATTGGTGTTTCGTTAGAGGTTAGTAAGAGTTGGAACTTGACAATCAGAAGAGATTTATGAGTCTGTAAGTATTGAGGTAAGAAGGTAGTGGGTTCAAATACTGTGTTGTGAAATATGTGTGTTTAATAAATCCACCTTTATGGGAGATTTTCCACAAAAAAACTCCCATAAAGGTGGGAGTTTTGAAAAACATTGCTTTAGATGCTTTTTTTATTGACCACAAGGGGGAGCAAATGACACTGTCCCTGGAGCATGGACACATGCATCAGCACAATTGACAGAAAGCCTGAGATGGCTAATGAGGAACTAAACCCAAACCTTTTTTTCCCTCCTGCAGGCTGTGTTTGTATCTGCAAACTTTAATAAAGTGTTCTTTCTGTTATATGTTTATAAAAAAATTCAGTACCTTCTTTTGGCATTTGGGGCAGTACCAGGATCCTCTTGGCGGGGTTTTGAGCGGCGGGTGGAGACAATTTGGGTGGAAAACTCGGGGGCAGTTATGGCAGGGCTGCACCTCCCCATCTTCTTTACAGACAGTGCAGAGTTCGTCATGCTCCAAGTCATCCTGAAAATGCAAATCCCTGTCATGAAAGTACTAATGTGTTGTGTTTTGGATAATCTAAAAGTTCTGAGATTATCAACATAAACATGAAGCTTGTCATGCAGTGCCATACCTTCCAGCAGAAGTCCTCCGAGTCTGGCGTGTGGGCGGAAGCAAACACAGGTTAGTCACACAGAGATGGATTAAAAGAAGCCATGCAACAGGTGCTGTATATAAGCAAGCATTAGTTCTTTTAGATCAGGGGTCGCCAACATTTCAAAATGGCTCGAGGGCTACTATATAAGGTTGAATTGAAATTAAATGCATATTGGTAAACCATGGGCGGCCATGTAACACTAGGGCTATTCCACTTTCAACCACAACAACTGAAACTAAAAAAAATCCATGTAACTAGTTTCTGGCTCCAAAACACTTTCAGGCCTCAGTAAATATACAGATCAGCTTTGAAAAAGTGAAAAAGAGAGGGCCGCTCTCACATCAGCTCCTACCCCAAAGTCACAGGGCCTTTTCTTAGTATGCAAAAGAGAACATGTTTTCTATGAAAAACGTGCAGCTAATATTTCATTGTATTAAACATGTGGGAAGTACATCATAGTTGTAGTTGTTTACAAACATAGATGGAAACGTGCATGAGGCGCACTGCATCGCCACTAATTGCTCGTGTTTTTTGTGTGCGTCTATCGTTTCCACCTCATTCTCAAACTTAACCATGCGCCCGCGGCCATAGTGGTGGTGACCCCTGTTTTAAATAAACATGGATGAAAACAAATGCACATTCAGACTGATACCACAATAAACCATTGAACCACTTATCACGCTCCAGCTTTACCTCGTGCCGTCAGGTACAGGGAACTGTTCAGGTAGTGGGAGGCCAGGCGTTTCCGCTGTAGTTATAGAAATACCAAAGTCAAAAAACTCTTTAACTAAACTTTTATGTTTTATTTTTCTGACCTCTGGTTCGAACAAGCCACTGTATGTTGGGTTTGCAGTGCTTCGCCTCTTCCTCTCTTGCCTCTTCTGCTGGATTTCTGCAAAGAAATATATGAAGATAGTAAATATAGCGAACAACTGATCTGCATTGATGCACACAGTGCATTGCAAAAGTATTGATACCCCATGAAATTTTCCACTTATTGGTCATTTTACTAACACATTTATTGGCATTTTATGTGAAAGAGCAACAAAATTGTGAAAATGAAACCAAAAGGATACATGACCTTTTTCCAAATAAAAACTGAAAAGTGTGATAGTCAGCCTCCTTTAATCTGAGTGCAACCAACTGAGAGTCAAGGTTTTCTGATGAATGGTCAAACATCGACCTAATTATGAAGTCCCAGGAACACCCCAGAGATGTCAGGGATGTAGTGGTGATGTTTTTTATACAGTGACTTACAACTTCAACGTTTGCACATTTTGTCATGTTTACAACCACAAACATAACACATTTAGTTTGGATTTTTCTCTCAAAGGTCAACTATGAATAAAAACAAAATTAATCTCTATTCACACAACATGATTTATTACTTTGTGGAAACCCATTGCTTTTTGGGTGTGCACTATACAAGCGTTGCATATCTGGAGACCGAATGTTTTGCACATTGGTCATTGGTCAGGTTGGATGGAGATTGTTTGTGAACAGCAGTTTTCAGGATCTGGATTAAGGTCTGGGCTTTGACACACAGGACCATGTTTTGTGTTAAACAATTCCATGGTATGAAAAGGGTGCTGTAAATCTATTTTAAATACCATAGAACGCCTGAATTGTCTAATGTCTGTAAGTGGAATACAAAATGTGATATTTTTCACCATTTATAATAATTTAATAGAAAAGTTCAGGAAGCTTAACAATGATTTAAATGAGCTGTGCATGGCCACACACATGTAAGTGAAGGAGAGCAACCCCAAAGAAATAAGGTATAGAAATATATCAGAGAAACATAATTACCTTCAAGGTGATCTGTGGTAACGAGGCCAAGGGCCACCATGAAGGCAATTTTCTGAAAAACAATTTTCTTTGTTGAAGTTTTCAATGCTACTGAGCCAACTATTCTTTTCAGTAAAGGTACAGAAAAACACTTACTTCTGGGTCTTCATCTTTCTTAACGGAGGGGGATTTAGGGGAGGACAGATCGTGTTGTGAGAGGACGCCAGCCTGGCCTTCAGGCGATCCCTCGTTGCTGTTGGGCACCTGCGGATGGATTATTATGACCTGGTAAAATAAATAAAACAATAAGAAAAATGAATATACATATTTTGCTAATTATACCACATTATTCAGCACATGTAGCTACATTTCTTAATTAAAGTGATTTATGATCAAAGTATACAGTATAGTGAACAAGCCTTGTTTTCGGCGCTGAAGAACAGTGGCTGGACTTTGACGGCCTCGCTGACGCCTGACACACCATTGACAGGAGCTGCTATGATGGCGTATGCCACTCCCGCTCCTGCTGACGCATTCTGCACAGGACTGCTGGACTCCAGTGCCACAGGCTGAGGGGGGGAGGCCGCCCCCTGCCTCTCTGGTTGCTGATCTGGGCTCAGTGTGCTGTTGGAGGTGGGGAGTGTGGGCTGCGAGGGGCCCTGGCTCCTGGGACTGACCACTGCTGTGGCCTTCTGCAGGTCAAGCAGCTCCTGGTAGTGTCCTCTGTGAGGAAGGCTGTCTGGGATCTGTGTCTTTGGCCTGACCTGTAGGAGCAACATGCTGGTTAGACTGAGCACATTATACATTAATAATCACAGAGCTGCTGAGTTAAAATTACAGAGCAATCGTTCTATCCACTTAAAACTAATTAGGCTTGTCACATTTACTGTTTAAGCTCAGTGAAGTCTTCTCGTACATCTGCTGCCCTCTAGTGCGTGATACAGTTGCTTACACTGTCAAATCTTTATTAAATTATGTATTAGATGAAACAGGTATTTCAAAAAGACATATACACATAAACAGTGAGAGTAAATCACCTGAGGTAACACTGTGGTGGCTTGTCCTGCCAGCCGATGCAAAGAGCTGACTTGAGGCACCTTGATGGGCACAGCAGTGAGAGTCCCCAACATCTGCACACATCACACGGGACACTGGCATGAGTGCAGTTACACGTTGAATACATTCCATATGAAAGGTTGTTCTTAGTTTCATTTGTCGACTCTAGTACGTGTAATTGAATATCTTTTCCAAAAAAGCATTTTTACATAACTTTCCAAGTTAGATCCGTCTACTTCTGGGTGAGCACTAGAGAGATACTATGTGAATGATTTTTGAGTTCACCAACAAAATAACTTATCTAAGACTAAGCAAAGGAAGGTTTCTCACCCATCATCTGTACTTCTTAGCAAGTTTTCCCCTGGTTTTCCCATCTGGGAAAACTTGCTAAGAAGTACAGATGATGGGTGAGAAACCTTCCTTTGCTTTGACTAATCCCTGTACGACTGAGGGCTTACACAAACTTATCTAAGACTAGTTTGTAGAGTTTTTTTTCTCTCACTAAAAATAATCTAATTAATTATAATTGTTGTATATTCTAACCCACTGTTTCACAACCCCCTCCTTCTAGAAGAATGAAGGTTAAAGCTTTTTTCCCCATAAATGATTGTAAAGAGGGAGGTGATGTTAGTTACTCACTAGATACTGAATTAGAGGTTTATAATAATACATGATGGCTGGATGACATCTGTGTTCCAACTGTGTTGGACCTCTACTTAGACTTTCTGCAGATTCAGAACTTTAAAAGCTTTTAAAGTGAGATATAAAATGTTATACTGATGGAAGTAAAGTTTGACAAATAACTGTGTAAATCTGTGAAATCTCATCTGATTAACGCTGTCTTGCCAGATTTAAAACTAGTTTCCCATTCCCTACTTTTGCTGCAACTGCAGGGCCTCAAATAATGTTTATATTCTCAACTTGGTGTTTCTGTTTAAGTGGTGGTCTCATTTAAGCTCTCCAGCTTTGGTCCATTTTTCTTCGCTTGTTAGTCACAAAAAACTCTCCCATTGTTCCTCAATGCTACGTAAGAACAGAGCAAAGCTTTGGCTTTGAACTAACAAGGACCACAGCGTCTGTCGGAATAAATATGGGACAACATATTAAAGTAACAGTGTCCAAGAAACTATCAAAAAAAGCCACAGACCTCAATTTGAGAGTTAAAGATCATTTAGTAAAAGCTCATGATAAAAAGACTGACAAAAAAAAAATTGTGCACACATCTCTGGCACTTCCTGATTCCAAGAAAATAGAGAAAAAAATAAACTTTTCACCTTCTCCACACCCTCCCCCTGCTCAGTGAAATCACTGCTTCGCTTCGCTTTGTATTGTGCTGCAGAACAGAGCGGAGGGGGAGGAGGCAGCCAAGGCCTGTTCCTATGGCAACTGCAGAGATGAAAATTCTTGCAGTGCAAGGCTTTCATTTTCGTAATTGTTGCCTCTTTTCTCCAAAGCTAAGCACCTTTGTGAAGGGGGGGCTGCTCCCCTTTCTCGGAACACAACCTTGGAAGAGACATTTCCTGCTTTTTAAATAATTTTCTTTTCAAAGAACTGTGTGAAGTGGAGCTAAGACAGATGACAGTGTGCAGCCCTCCTCCATCCTCTGCTCAGAAGTCTTTAAAGCAGCACCGATAAATCAGGGTGTGTGTGTCATCCATGGGGACTCAGGACGACCTGAGCCAGTCATGTCCAACATCTATATCTGCACCAAACTCAAGTGGACTCAAACTTCAAAGCCTTTTAAATCACTTATCTAAAAGGCTGAAGAGTTAAATGTTGTTAACATTCGGTATATTTTAGTGCAATCGCATGTTTCTACTTACATGGGACAACGTGGTGCATAATGGATAATGTGTCCACTCTATATAATATAACACTAATAAACTTTAAACTATCAAAGCACACCTTCATTCTACATTCATCTAAATTGAGCATCTTAAACTTTTTAACATGGGATCAATGGAATGGAAAATACACAGTAATGTGGCATGACAAAATGAAAATCCCTCCTGAGTTGAGTGAAACAATGTGGCTCTAACGTGTGCACTCGAGCAGTGCAACAATCCCATTACGTCTCATTATTGATCATCAAATTAGTGGCCAGGTGGTCTGTGGGATACCCCTCCCGCCTCTTCAATGAACACTGCAGACTTGCTATTTTGTGGAGCATTAAACAACTGTGGCTAGATGTAGGTATGTTCAAGCAGTAATCCAGACCAAGTTCCTAAACCCTATCCCCCTGAATGTGAACCTATTGATTTGCCCTTGTGACGAGCATAAAATGTCTTGTTTAACTTAAAATAAGTAAAGACAAGAACTATTTCTTACATAAAATTAGACTACTACTTGCTATGGGCCGACAGATGCGCAGATCAGCCTCTGCACAAAACCTGAGCTTGCAACAAACCTTTAGTTAGTCTCTGCATTTTGGCACTTTTGATTGCTATGTGAAGTTAGGTTTTTGTTTTGTAAAACACTTTGAGTTGCCTTTGTCTTTGAATTGTACCATACAAATTGTACTATACAAATAAACTTGCCTTGCACACTCACCTGCAGCAAAGGGTTATGTGAAGCAGTTGGAAGGACACAGTTGGAGTGTGACCCTGACCTGATAAACAAAACCTAACAGCTCTCTGTGGGCGGTTATCCCTCTCTAAGCCAGTGTTTTTCAACCTTTTTTGAGCCAAGGCACACTTTTTTCACTGAAAAAATCTTGCGGCACACCTCCAGGAGAAAACGTAAAAATGTATACAGTACTAATGTAAAAATATATACTGTACATACTCTGTGTGATATATAAAGTATATCTTATCTTATCTTATAATGTATACAGTATACTCTGTAGCCTATATTCACAATATACAGTTATTCTCATCAAAATGCTTAAGTCCAGGCCTTGATATTAAGCTTTATTTAATATTTCTCGATACAATTAACAAGAGTTTGGGAATAAAGTGGCACTAACTGTGTGGAAAAAAACTAAGAAAATCCACTCTCTGCCCAAATAGTCAAATAATAACTCACACAAAGAACATGCATTGTTAGTGCATGGGAAAAATTTAGGTATCCGAGCTTTAAATTCAGGAGTTTTGGATGAGGGACACGGGAGGTCCTGAACGCGAGTCCATGGTTCTGTCCGGTCCGCATGTCTGTGGTTCTGTCCACTCGACTATGGTCTGCGCTCGGTACCCAGTTCAGAAGTGCGTTCGCGAGAGCTGTTGTACAAAAATTGTACATTTCATAGTTAAACCACTACAACGCGGCCACAGCTGCCCCGGGGCAGAGCGGAGGATGTTAATCCTGTTCAGAAACGGCATAATTCATTTTCAAAAACGTCTCTATCACTTTCACTTCTCACTCGCCACAAAGCTCTTGTCTCGCTCCCTCCCACATTTGTTGGTCGCATCCAATTTTACCTTTTTCGCCACAATGCTGACCTGTTACAGCCAGTGGTCGCATCCAATTTTTCAGTTTCAAAGTACTTAGCTATCTGCTGCCATCTACTGATTTGAAAAAGTATTACATGGTTACTCCACAGTTCAAAACAAGTCACTGCTCGTCAACAGCGAATGCAGTTATTTTTAGACAAAGTAGACGAATTTCTCACGGCACACCAGACAATATCATACGGCACACTAGTGTGCCGCGGCACAGTGGTTGAAAAACACTGCTCTAAGCTAAGGTCCTCTACCAGAGGCCTGGGAGCTTGAGGGTTCTGGCAGTATCTTTGCAGTTCCTAGCACGGCACATTTCAGGACCGAGATGTCTGAACCACTCTTCTAGCTTCGGGGTCACTGCCCCGAGTGCACCGATCACCACGGGCACTACTGTCACCTTTACCCTCCAGGCCCTCTCCAGCTCCTCTCTGAGCCCTTGATATTTCTCAAGCTTTTCGTGTTCTTTTTTCCTGATGTTGCCACCACGGTTTCCGCTATTCTTTGTCTACCACCTCGATGTCAGGTTGGTTCGCCATTACCATTCGGTCGGTCTGTCTCTGGAAGTCCCACAGGATCTTTGCACGCTCATTCTCCACCACCTTTGGAGGAGTTTCCCACTTAGACCTTGTGGTTTCCAGCCCATACTTACGGCATTCCATGTAGGCCTTCCCTGCCAGCATCTTATATCCATATGGTGGGCCTTCCTCCAGCACCTTCTCATCTCGCCACTTTCTGAGTACATCATCCTTCTCCATGATGTAGTTATGGAGTTTGGATGTTTCACTCAGGACAGTAGCTTTTACACTCACTGGTCCTTGGCCTTCTTTACGGTTTACGTATCTGCCATGCATGGCAAGGAGCTTTCGAGATATGTTAGTGCTGTCAGTTTATCAGTACTATTGACAGCTGTCAATAGCTCTCTCTCTCTGCGCTTGTGGTGCGTAGGGGCCGTCGTTCCCGCGCCGTTTACGCTCAGGCCGCAAGCGTGACGGCTGCCCTGTGCATTCTGACAGTGCCTACGAGCGCCGGCACAGTCACAATAGACGGTAATGAGGTGTGAGCGTTTCTGATACATAATATGACACTGAGCAGTTATAAGTGACATTAATAATATGAGAATCACTACAACATACTCTACTTTATTTATTTCCTGACAATGAAACGTAAAAAGACAACATGGTAATTAAGACATGATGGTCAGCATGTATTACATCTGCCTCATGAACCAAATGTGATATTCTGAATACTAACACTCCCACATGAATCCAGGTAGAGACAAAAGTGGTACTGCAGTCACAGTCAATATTTTGTAGTCCTCTCCCACTCTCCCTGACTCAGGTTGCCAGACACACACCAAATCCAGCAGCAAACACAAGGAATTATTTTATCAGTTATGTGTCTGTCTCCATTCACATTGCTATGAGCCGTGCTAATGCTGAAGGGAGTTGTGGCAACCTGGGCCTCTGAATTCCTGATTGGCGAAACGGCGGAGGGTAGGACATCTAAATGAAAACAATAACAACTTTTACGAGTCGTAAAACAAATATCTCGGCCGAACTACTATTATCAGTTAAAGATGTGTTTGAAAAGAGCATGATTTAATAATGCCTTTTGAAATATTGGGGAAATAATATGTAATATTGAAATATTACATATTGCTACTTATGCGTAAAAGTAGATCTGACAGGGAATTTACACTGTAGGCGTTAACAGCGCGTGCGCGTTGACTGCGTGCATCTGCGCGTAACATTATTTGGGTGTATCTACACTGGCCGTGCGCGCAGGTCTGCGGCTTCTGATGCTGTCCCTGTGTAGTCTATGGAGAAGTGTAGAGGACAGTACGGGCCAGAGGACTGATGTAGAGCAACACAAACACATGTGTTTGTCTTCATGGTGTCTGTGCGCTGGTTTGGCCAGACACGAGACTTCATGAAAGGAAAAAAAACGATGTCTAGAATCACTGTAAAACCTGCCAATCCTCCTGCTAATGTTTAGATACAAGTGCTGTGTGTGTGTAAATGCAATCTAAAGCCAAGGGCTGCTAGAAAAATCATGTTTCACATGTGTTTCAATGGGAGACACATTGCTGCTCGCACAAAATTAGAAATCCATCCTAAATTAGGCGCAGCCTCGCGTCAGTACGTCCGTCATACGCGCGCATAACACTAGTAGTGTAAATATCATCATTGGTTAACACGTATAACGCGTACGTGCTGTAACGCCTCCTGTGTAAATTAGCAGTAAGTAGTAGCTTTGATAATGTGAGAACCCCCCTGTTCTAGACACTGTAAAAAGCAATAACAAAAGCATGCAGAGCTGGAGTAGCCTATTTTAGACAATCCAAATCCTTTCCAAACCATAACAAGGAATATTTATCAAGGGGAAATATGTGAAATATATGTGATGTGTGCTTAATTGTGATTAATTGCGAGTTAACTATAACATTAATGCGATTAATGGCAATAATATATATATTGGCTATCAATATTGTCAAAAAGAATCCTCTTTGTATGTGTGTCCATCCTGGTACTCACATGAAATAATCTAAAGACTTTATTCGCAAATTTATCAGTGTGCGATCTTGTTGGAAGGCAGACAGGTGATGGACAGACCGTGGAGCTAATAGACAGTGTGATCATAAAGCTGAAGCCTAAGGCCTGAAGCCCATCTCCCTCTGAGGGTTGTGCAATTACTGCAGGAGTGTGGACGCTGCCAGGCTGCTCCAGCCCGTGGTGCTGAATACAGAGTGAAGCCGCCGCAATGTGGGCTGAATTCTAACTAGTTTTTTTTAAACAAGCTACCAGATAAAACAGTTTTTAATGTTTGAGCGGTAAGAAAAAGTCTGTTTAGTCACTTTAATGGAGAAACATCTGTGTAGAAATAGACTACAATCTCCATGTACAATGTCAGTCCTCAGACCGTGGCATACTCACAGTGAAGTACAACTCAAAGATATGAACAATGAAGGACAAGGCTTCACTCACGCCCCATTATTATAATTCACCTTCAATGAAACGCTGAACTCAAGGACAATACGCTGTTTATCTTCTATCACTGTTTTTTCCTGAATTTGAAATGTAAATGGGCGTACAGCTAAGAAATAGTTTTGGATGTGAACCTTTTCCCTAACCTTTTTGATGCCATGGAAACAGGAACACAGCCACATGTGAATATAATGTAATGAATGTAAATACTAATATATGACGCATGCACCGTGATATTTACTGTGCTGTGTTACCTGCGACGGAGGCAGCTCTGCGGCTCTCCTGCTGCTGTGCGAGTGGACACTTCCAGCCACCACTCGGCCACTGGTTTGGAGGTTGATGGGGGACGAATGCAGCGATTCTGAACTTGGCACTTTTTGTCCGTTTATGTGTGCTGTAACCATAGAGACTGGGGCTTTGGCTGGCACCACAGAGATGGCAATACCCTGGCCAGGGGCCTTGATGAGGGACAGAGGCTTGGTCGTCCCGACTGGACAGGTCCGAACAGCCAGCTTCTGTAAAGAGACAAAAGAGGAACTCTGTCACTAAACTCTGGTAGAATAGATGTTATGTGTCATTTCTAGCAGTAGCAAAATAGTGATACGATACTGTGTGAAGGATTTTTGAGTTCAGCAAAAAAAATCTGAAACCAGTTTGTGGAGTTTTTTTCCTGCCCTGAGAATAACCCCTCAAGCAGCAGCTGAGAGCTCTGACTGCTGCTCACATGTCGTCTGCACAGAACATTAAAATTATATCACAGATACATCTTTCATCTCCATTTACATTTTGTCATGTTACAACCACAAACACAAAAATTATGATATTTATGTGAAAACAAAGTGACAAAAGCATACAGCCCCATTTTGTCTGAGTGCTACCAATTGCCCTCAGACTTCTCCGTATAGGAGGATCTTGGAGTGACGTCGTTGTTTATAGTTTTTCCGCGCTGGTCACGTGACCGGGTGGCAATACAGCATAGAAAGCTACCTGGGTGCTAGAGAGTTAGCTAGTTTTAGACGTTTGGAGAGAGGATTTGCAAAATCAAATGGTACATTCTTGTTGTGTGGTCGGTTGTACGGCCCGCTGGCCGTAAAATTCATACTACTTTCAGTGCGCACTTCAGTTCACTCATTCATTCATTCATGAATGATGATCAATTTTAAGCATTGCATTTTGGTTGCTGATCCCTGCGGCCCCTTTTCCACCTTCACCGTAAGTAACAGCAAAAAGGGGCAACCCGCTTTTAATGTGTGGCAAAATGCCGGGCCCCTTTACTGCGGTGAAAAACGCGATGGATCTTCACTACAGACCCTTCTTGAGTGAAGGGTCCCTGGTTTTCTATGAAGTAAGAATAAATGTCTCCGAGTCCCAGTCCCAGTAGATCGGTGCCAAAACAGAGGTGAGTCTTACCAATGTTTCTTCTCGTCATCCCAGGTCTCATACAGGCTTTGAATTTGTTCAGTTCGATCTCATATAATAATTTTTAGTTTGTCTTTTATCTCCTCTGATCTTATTGCGTTAAAGTGCTTATATACAGTGCTATTCGCCCACTGAGTCGTTTAAAAGTAGTCGTCGCATCCATGTTTCAGTATGTGCCGCTCTCTGTTTGTGCCACCCGGCGAGGGGCGCATGCGCACGCGGGTGTAAAAAAAGATCCTCCTATTGGGAGTGAGTCCATCAGAGTGTAACCTAGTCTCAGTCTCAGTATCAGTATCTCACAGGGAATTTACACAGTAGGCGTAAACAGCGCGTACGCGTTTACTGCGCACTCTCTGCGCTTAAAATTTTTTTGGAGTATCTACACTGGCCGTGCGCGCAGGTCCGCGTCTTCTGAAGCTGTCCCTGTGTAGTCTATGGAGCAGTGCAGAGGACAGTACGGGCCAGAGGACTGATGTAGAGCAACACAAACACATGTGTTTGTCTTCATGGTCTCTGTGTGCTGGTTTGGCCAGACGCGAGACTTTATGAAAGAAAAAAACCGATGTCTAGAATCACTGTAAAACCTGCCAATCCTCCTGCTAATGTTTAGATACAAGTGCTGTGTGTGTGCAGATGTGATCTAAAGCCAAGGACCGCTAGAAAAATCATGTTTTACATGAGATTTCAATGGGAGACGCGTTGGTACGCGCACAAAATTAGAAATCCATCCTAAATTAGAGCGCAGCTTCGCGTCATACGTCCGTCATACGCGCGTATGTGTAAATATCATCATAGGTTAACATGGAAAAAAGTTACGCGCGTCTGCTGCGCGTACAACGCGTACGTGCTGTAACGCGTGATGTGTAAATTAGCAGTAAGAGGTTTATTAAGAGACGATTGGTCACTAAACAGCATCATGAGTTCGAGGAACCCCCCAACGAGGTCGAGGAAAAAGTTGGAGAGAAGTTTTGAGCACAGTTAGATAACACAAAAAATACCCAAGCCTTGGACATCAAGACACAGCTGAGACTTTCAGGCCGGACAAGGGGAGAACTGATCCAGAGACCCATGGTAACCATGGAGGAGCTGCAGACATCTACATTCCTGTGGAGCATGAAGCTTCAGAGGTGTTTCAGTGAGTCCACAGAAGCTATGAGAAGGGTAAACCCTTCTACCCTATGCATTAAACCCTATGCATTACAATAACTCAAACTTTAGCATTAATAATCATGATTTCTCAAGTATGCCATTTTTTGTAATCAAAATCAAAGTCATATAATATTTCAATTCATTTCACACCCTAGAGAGCAGAGCACTGATCAGAGATAAATCCATATGCTGCAGGATGAGTGGGTCACATGGATCAACTATTAGTCATACTGTACACAAATATGGCCTTTGTGGATGAGCGGCAAGAAGAAAACCATTGTTGAAAGAAAAACATAAGATTCTACACTTTATGGCCCAAATATAAAATGAATGGCTCAAAACTGACACTGCTTATCAGCCTCAGGGAACCATCCCAAGTGTCAAATATGGATGTGGGGGAGTATCCTGCTATGGAGCTGTAAAAATGGATGGAAAGAATTTTGTTTTTGCTATAAAAAAACACACAAAACCAATCTGTCAGGATGCCCCAGTAAAAGTCCAAACCTAAATCCAATTGATAATCTTTGGAAAGACTGCTGTTCACAAACACTCTCAAAAAATTGTCCAGAGTTTAACAAATGGAAAAAATACTTGAGACAAGGGCGTAGGTTTGCGTGGGGACCATGGGGACATGTCCCCACCAATATTTGGTGAGGACTAATAAGTCCCCACCAAAATGACATGATGTCCCGTGACCCGGACGGTCCGGGACACATGTCTTCCGTTTGTGCATCCTCCTCCTCGCCTCCAGAGCAACAGCAGCAGCAGCAGCACGTGACCCGTTCCGTTCTCTGCAGTGATTGGCTGTCTTCTTCAGCGCCAAACTGAAGCACTGAGCGACTGTTTAATTTTTAAAAGTTAGCCAGCGTGAAGCAAGTGTTTTTTTTCGTTCCCTGAGCGTTGTAGCACGTGAGTAATCAGAGGAAAGTACTGTAGATCTATTACCATTCAAAGTACTTACGTTATTTCTAATCTGTCAGCGCACTGTTTAATGTTCCGAGGAGCTCACACGGCACAGACACAGAACAGAACTGGCTCCAATAAAGAAACAGGTTGGTTGAAAGGCTGAAAAAATACTTATTGTGCTCTTACTATCCAAAATGTATAAGTGGGTGTGTTGTGTGAATCAGGATAAACTAGGGATAAAAATATTCCACGGATCCACGATTTACAACCTTTATCTGCTGATAATGTAATTTCTGTGAAATGTGTGACAGCGGGCACTTGCTGTTATTTGCTCTAAGCACATTCAAGCGATGCACTCGAATGTGCACGTCCTGGTGCAGCTGCTGCCGCTTTGTAATGACAGCCGCGGCGCTCAGTGAAAGCACCGCTCTAACATGGTACCGAGCTCGGACCATATGCAGACAGAACCATGTTGCAAGTGCGGGTCTCCCTCGTATCTCCCCCGTTTCTCCCCTGTGTCTCTGACATGTCTCTCCCCTGACTCTTCCCAAAGCGCAACCAGCGCTCCCGAAATTAAAGCTCGGATACGTAAATTTTCCATTGCGTTAACGATGCATGCTGGTTGTGCGCAAAACACACCACAACAGGTCATTTAAGTTTTTATTTTGCATACTTGAGAGCCCTGTGAGTCATTACTTGCCTTTTTGGGTAGAGAGTGGAATAAAAAAAAGAAAATATAGAAAAATCCACACTGTTACTTACTTACCAAACTCTTGTTAACTCATTGTATTGAGAAATACTATGTAACTTTTGACATTGGCCAAGTTATATAAATGATTCTGCAGTTCATGTATATGAATGTCTGTTTTTGATTGTCTATACCTTCTTATATAATTTAGAAAAAATGCCACCTCCACAAATAAGATAAAAGATATCAGGAGCTTTTTTAACAGTTGGAAAGTAAGTAAGAGAAAGCACAAGTAATAGCAAATTATGAATTGTGATGATTAATCTTCTGTTAACATACATAACTGCTTCTCATTCAGTCTACAGCTGAGTTTAGTATAGAAGGCAACACACTATTGCAAATATAGTGTGTGATTACACAACAAATTCTGGGGGAGAAACTCTGGACCCCGTGTCAATGGGTGTAGACTCAGGTCGTAGTGAATGTCCCCACCAAGATTGGAACCAAACCTACACCATTGACTTGAGAATACCACAGTCATACTCCAAGAGACTTGCACAACCTCATGTTGTATGAATACTTGTGCAAGCTCCACATTTCACCATCACTTTTTTAAATTATATACATTTTCAACTATGTATGTACAATTTTTCACCTTTGTGCGCAATTCAACCACATTTAGTAGCCCTCAAGCTATTTGGTTGTCTTAAGGGGAGACCTTAGCTTTAAAAAGGTTGGTGTCCCCTGCGCTAGATGTACAAAGCTGGAGATATACCCCATAAAACTATCATGTGTTATTTTTATAGGGGGTTCCACATAGTATCAACTTAATTCAGTCTATTATTTATGAATAAAGTGAAGAAAATATGGAAAAGTTAATGAGGCATTAATACTTTAGCAGGGCACTGTATTGTCTGATAAAAACCTTTGCAAATGTTGTTGTTATTATTATTGTAACACATTAAACTCTGCCTTAATAAAGTTATGCATGTTGTCAAACCGAACCAAAAACAAATGTTTTAAACCTTAGGCTGTTTCTAATGTGAACAGAACGGGACTGGCAGCACATCACTTTAGTTCAAGGGCTCAGAGCAGTCAGCAGACTGGCCTCACACCAACCACACTCTCCCTTCCCCCACATGCCCACTCCCTCCTCCTCTTTAGGCCGAAAAAAGAAAATACATCTACCAAAGCACAGATAAGTACACATCAGTGCCCCTCCGCGTCGCCCCACACAACTGAACACAGAGACACTCTAAATATTTTATGGCTGGCCCCATGCCCCGTATCGCACCATATCTCCACATATGCTTTGTGCACTGGCTTTGTGGGCGTGGGGACGAACAACAGACG